GAACATGTTTCAAGGTCTCATTGTTCATGTTGTTTGGCAACCCAATAACGAGTAATCCAGAAATCATGGAATCATGGAATCACAGAGTTTGGCTGGAATAAGTAGAAAGTCACTTTTCAAGACCTGAAAGACTACCGAGTTCAACAGGACTTGAAATTCCTCCAACAAAAATATGGTTTGATGCAATGATAAATCGCATGCTTAATGACAACCAACTCAGCGATGCTTTGATTAAAAGTCTCCATAAACTTGTGTCTTGTAATTACTGTTGAGCATCATCAAGAAACAACAGTTTTACTTTTTCCAATTCTATCCGTTGTTGTTTGGAACAATCAATGCATTTCCAACAAAAGTGTCGTGCAATCTTGTCCAAGAAACAAATCCAAATGACATTTGTTTGAGACTATGTTGATACATATTAATGAATATAGGTTTTGCAGAATCAGATGAACAAGTCAATATGACAAACCGATACTCAAACCAAGTATGTGAGTTTGTCAAGTTGATCAGGTCTTTTGAGATGATTTGTAGAAACATTGATACCATTGATCTGGATAGTTTTCTTGAAATAATTGTATGAACCAGTGATTGTTGGGTTTGAGCCAACATCATTCTTGGATTTGATGATGAGTGGAGTGGATTCAACAGTCCCATTTGTCCCAAGTGCAGCAAGCGAGTCCCATGCGTTGTGATTGATCTCGACTTGATCCATCAGAGTGGATATTCAGTTAGTGTATCGACCAAAAGTGATCATGTCTTGTAATCTGCAACCAAGCCAACAGGTTCTATTGCTGAACAACAGCCTGTTGTTGACTTGGTCGCAACCACCATCATTGAGACAACTAAAAGGCTTGTTGGTATTCCAGTCGACCATCAACTCCTTACTTTCCACTTTGTTGTTGATGGAGTGGAAATAACTTGCAATTCATGGCATTGTCTTGCTGTTCTTGGACTAGATCAAACCACTGGAACTGATCCACTCATCAAATCCAACATATTATGCTTGGTCAAACTCTGTATCATCAACACTAGACACTGTAATGGACATGAACTCACTTTACAAACCACTCTTGTGAACCTTGTCCAGTCGATACACTTGTATGATGAACACAACTGTTGTGTGTCCAACATTCAATCAAAACCATTCATCTGGATCAAACCATCATGAACATTGACATCAAAGACATTGACACAATCCCTAATGTTTTGTATTCAAAAGTCTATTCTGGCAACATACAAATCGGAATAGAAATGTCAATCGACAGACTGACAACTACACAATATTGTCATGATTGGTGTCAGTGGATGTGAACAACAACCTGCTATGGTTTGTGTCGATATTGTGTATTTGACTGTTTTATCGACCTGATTTCAGTGCAATGATTGACAAGTTGGCATAGTTGGCACCTGCCAAAAAGACGGACAAGAGTCGATCAGTGTTTGAATACCAATCTAAAAGACTGATCCAGTGTTTGATTTCTGCTCGTATATTTGTTCTGAAAACACTCTGTGAAACAAATCCCGATCTCAAGCCTTTTACATGGCTATGCATTCAAACAAGTATACAAACTGGTGTACTCTTTTGTAAAATATTCAAACATCTATCTGAGCTTTCTTGGTCTGCGTTTGGTAAAGTCTATCAAGAGTTGAAATCATGGTTCCTAAAAGACAGTCGTGTTATATTTGACGAATCGCAACATGTGCTAAATCTTTTAAAGTCGGACTATCGTTCAACAACAATCCATCAACACTGCTGGACAATTTGATTCTCCTCGGTCGCTGTTTTCGTTTTTGACCAGAACTATTATCCAAGATGGCTTCAACAATATATGGTGCGGAACACAAATGCGGATCTGCATTATGGACCTAATATACTCTGCTGCTGGACTCAAACCAGAGGATATATTGATATTCACCGACTTCAACTACTTGAAATCATCCGATATTTTCAAACTACTATCGATGTGTCAAAGAATATTGACCTTCAAGAAATCTCACAGTCTCTTCAAGGTCGTCCAAGACTTTTTGTTTCATTTTAACAAATTGATTGATTCGACTGACATCAATGATTGTTATCGTGGTTATATACAGGAAATGACGTCAAAATCTGGCATGTATTTGCCTCATTCATCATTTCACTGTTTCTGGAAGGACCGAATCGACTGGATTACCAAACCCATTGAAAATGCCGACTATTGTGTTGCTGAAACTAGATTGGTATTGGAGATACTTGTCCATCCACTTACTGATCCAAATCTCAGATCTGATTGTTTCCCTTGTGTATTTTGTTAAACAGTCATACACACTACTTGTTTGAACGTATTAGTTTGCAGCAACCATTGCAACTATTACAACTGCTACCCATATTATTGTTATCAAGTTTTGAGATCAACTCGTTTTACATTTCCATTTCCATTCATTTCCTGACACCCTACAACACCAATAATGAATTCACTGTGGTCCCGTCTCAACATCTTATCGGCTCTTTCTCCAAAACAGTCTTGCCGTAGTGTGCAAAACACTATTCCCCAACCAACCAATGCTTGTGAAAATGCACCACACCTTGCCGAAACAAGCATGAATCCAGAAAGGTATGCAGTACAGTATTTGTATTATAGTTGTGCATCTGAATATTGTATTTTGGTTACACAACACATTGCTAACATGACTGTTTACTTGCATGTGTATTGTTTACGATTTGATGATTGCATTTACGGTATTTTGGGATGGACTCGAAACGTTGCCGAATTTAATTTTGTTGATTCGACTACGCGACTTTGATGGTAATGATTTTGACTGTTTTTGATGCTATCTAATGTCATTGAACGTCATTCAATGTGTATCAATTGTGATTTGTGTTGGTTGGTATGCTGTGCTGGTTGATTATTATTTGGGATTGAATTGGTTGATGCCTAATTTGATTTATGGAACAATGGGTTGAATGCTACTTTAAACTTTTACTGTTGTTTGTGCATAATTTTGTAATGTTGTGATTGACTAGTTCAAATCAGGAAAACATATATACTGATATGTATACATCCAGTCCAATCAGCCCAATTAATGATCCAAGAATCCCTGCTTCACCAAGTAAGTGTGTGATTTTTGTATCAATTTCTCACGAGTTTTGGATGTGAATGCATGTACATGCATGTATTGTGGATTGTTTAGGCTGTAGTGCGTTGATGGTAACTATACTGATTATATTGACTGACTGATTGATTGTTTTAAAACATTTACATTATAGTCTCGTCCCTGATTGAGGCAGTTAGGATACTACAGTCTGGAAAGCAATGCGACTCTACAGTATCAACCATATATACTGCAGAGTCCATTGCACCAGATTCAGCAGTGACTGGTCATTCATCAGGACCCGTTGAGCATTATACCGATGCTCAAGCATCTATGCTGTCATACAGCTATGCTAAACGGGTTTTGGCGTGTGACAAACCGCCTTTTGAAACTCGGTATAAAGTAAGTTGGTTGTATTAGTGTAAATCTTGGGTTTAGCTTTGAAATTGCACAAGCTGTGCTGGATTGATACAATTGTATAGTTATGATTGACTAATGTTTTATTTATTGGTATGTGTCAACCATTTATATTTGACAGGCTGACCAGATGCAGTACACAAGCAGTAAGCTTCCCGGTGAGGTTGATAGATCAAAAGTGTGGCAGCACATGTCATGACTGAGTGATTGTATCAGTCTCTGTGAGTATGTGCGCGAGTTACAAGTTTCTGGTTCAACAATCGTTGATAACAAAACATCCATTACAGTCAAAAATAAGACCCAATCACGGTACTCAACCAGATCCTGTTCAGTGTTTGCAGTCTCTGCAGTGGTGACTGGACCAAACTCATGATTGCTGAAAACATGGCAATATCACCGTATCAATCAACCAGTACCGTTTACTCGACCACCCAATGCATCCGTGACAAATATGAGGTGTTCTCGATTGATCCAGACAGTGCATCTGCGTCTGATGCAACTCGACTGGTATATGTAGTTGGGTCTGTGTGCATGCGATTGATCAACAGCGATTTGTCAGTGTACACGCAGACCAACAATTTGCGTGGTATCAGTCCAATCCAAACTACTGGCAGGGCAACTCGAGGTAATATGAACTCGATTGGAAACGTTGACTTTTTCACATTGATGGACGAGATGCGACAAACAGTCAAATACCTCACCATGCAAGTTGTATCCTTGAAAACTGATCTGATCGCTGTGACTAGCGCATTTGGACAGTTGCAGAGCCAAACCAATGACATTGTTGTCATGATGACCAAACACGACAATGTCATTCGATCATTACTGTGACAGATCTTGGTCAAACTGGACTCTGGTTGTTCACCAACACATGCAGTTGTTATACCAGTTGTGGTATTCGAAACCATTTCCACGACTGTGAATACCACCGCAACAGTGACTGTGTTTTGTCCACAAAGTCAATCCAAGTTGTTCATATGCGACAACAGCACGTTGCACACACACGCAGACTGTCGATACGGAATGCCAAGCAACAATCGACTTATTCCGTAGTCGTGCAATTGTTGACATAAATGCCATTGCGGTCAATGCTGTATCGACTGGTGTCAAACCTTGAATGAATGCTGCAACTCGCATTTGTTTATTGCGTTTTGCATCAAATGCAATGTGCACACTCAATAAACTTTGTGATATTCTGGTCACATTCCGTATCAATCTGCAACGGATTACCAACATGCATACAATCAACAACACGATCAGATTATTAGTACATCAATCTATTGCTGTCAAACTTGTAGTCATGACCCAACTCGGTACAAATCAGGTCAAATTTGATCCAGAAATTCCAACAAAAAACATCAACCCGACCACTGAGCTGGCTGCTCGTCAACGGTTTGCTGGTTATGTGGGTTTATTGTTGATGGGTAAGCGTGTAAACTGTCGTACACGCAATTTATACTGCGAGTTGATGGTCAAGTCTGACAATCTGCATTCGTGAACTTGTGTGCAAACAGTGTTTTGTTGGATCTCAAACATCCTGCAACTCGCACAGTTGTTTGCACAGTTGCTCGTCTATCAATCCAACTGGATCTGCAACTCTGTCAAGCAAATCCGTAGTGCAACCTGCTGATGTTGATGTGACTACAATGAACACGAAACTCACCAAAATAACACTTGCTGATCTGACAGGTCAATGAGTGACACTAACCATTAATACCAAACAAACAACGTTTTGAATCAACAATCAACTGTCATGACAATTGGTAACATTCGTGGTCATTTGGCATTCATCTCAAACCATCACATCAAACAAATTTCCAAAATCGATTGCTGGACAACTCAACTCGGTGCACGAGTCCGCATTACTGTATCAGAGTTGTTAAACATTGGTAATGTGAAATATCATAAATAACGAGATATTTCAGACTCATACGCGACGCATATATGTTTGAGGCGATGTCTATCGCAGCCATCACTTGTGCAATAACAAGAGACTTTCTCAGCTATGACGTCTAATTCACGGATACGCATAACCGTTATCCACATTCTTATAAAATGATCAATGTTTTCTTTTATCAATAAACAACACAATTAACTCATTGGTTCATTCCTTCATTCTCATCTTTTACTTTTGATATTACTCCAAAACTATACTACATTAATATGTTGTCATACTTCCAAGAGCAACAGTATTGCTGTGGTGTAATATTAGCAACTACACACAACTTGACATGAATGACAATGTTGATGTCAAAACTGTCAATGTATTACAATGTATTGGTCAACAGTGACTGCAATCAATGATAATGTTGCAGTCAATCCAATCCAATTGTTGACTGAAACAATCCACATCCACTTGTCAGATTCATCATGTAAATGCATGTTTTGTAACACATTTACTAATCCAACAATTGACTGATTAACAATAATTGAATATTAAAATGTTGAATAAAAGATTCGAGTCATTATATGAATGACGTAATCAATTGAGTTGAATTGACACTCGATTGAACAATACAAATAATCACATGACAAATGTTTAAACACTATTTAAAGTGTGAATTTGTCTCACATTGTTCACGTGATATCGAGTTTTGAATGTGAGACAAATTCACGTTTTGATCTTTTTTTGTCATTTCATTGTTTCACTTCATTCTATTCTATTTACTCTCCTCACTTTATTATATTCTATATTCTACTCTATTCTATTCTTTCATAAACTCCAAAATGACCAGGATTTATATTCAATACCTTGAAAACACTCCGGTATCATTATTTACTCAAAAGTTGCCTGTCCCTGAAGGAGAAGAGCCTAATATTTCTGACTTGGTTGCAGCCATCGTTGTCGAACCAACTAGAAGGCTTGCTGGTATCCCAGAAGACTATGGGCCAATCACTCTACATTATGTGGTGGATGGTCCAGCCATTCCCGGGAATACTCTGTTGACCTCCATTCAGCATCCAGTTGGTTCCTACGACCAACCACTTGTCATCAAGTCAGGTATTGTTCATGGTCCTACCGTAGGAATCAATGACTTTGTCAGAAAAGGTATACCAACGTATTGGAAAGTTTCTGGCGCTCTCTCGGATTCCTTAGCCGTAAAAGGTGTTCGTTCTCGTATGTATCGAAATGCTGATAACTATCTTGGTTACTACGAATCAGGGCAACCAGCTTTCTTTTATGAGGAAAACAAACCCACTCTCAAAATCAATGTATTATTTAAAACAGAAGAAAACGCCCTTCGCTTCGATAGTCACTTACGAAATGAATCGATTACCATCAACTCTCCTATGAACAGCCTGACAATTAATTCCAGTGTTTCTACAACCTCAACCGCTCAGCTTGGAGAAAGAATCTATTATAAGGATTACATCCCTACTGATTCTGAATCGCCACAAGACACTCAGTCTGTAATAACCATTCAGTTTTCAACCTTTGAAGAAACAAGCGACGAGTTCAAATACCAAAGAATCGAAAAATTGTCAATGTTTGGTTCGATGGGGAAAGCAGAAAGCTGTCACTTGATATCTGCCTCTCATTGTAGAAACTACCCCTCTTATGAAAAATACGACAAAAACCCAAACAATAGGCTAGCAATGTCAAGGGACCTTCACGGTTGGTTTGACGACTTAAGCACCGAGATTCCGCTGTTCTATTTGAAAATCGTCTCCATTTCTGATTCGGTTATTGTAGAAGACAGATATAAAGTCGTACTTGCGGTAGTAGCATTGAATCAAGAATCGGCTGATATGATATTTTATCGCTTGATTGAAGGCTCGACAAAAACAGATAACCCACTCATAATGAATACTTCAGTTCATGTGACTAACCCTACTATATTCCGGAAATGTCTGGAATGGAAAGAGAAGGAAACCATGAAGAAGTGGAATGATTATTATTCAATGGATTCTGCGGTCCCGTAAACAAAATTTCAATAAATACGATTTCATAATATCTCCATTACAATTTCCTTTTATGTTAAATCAACTTTAGAATATTAACGAATTTTAAAACATCAGGTATGAATTTGGCACAGAAACCTCCTAATAACTCAAACTTATAAGCTCTAAATTGCTCTATCCCACCTTTTTGGCCTGAATTACTAATCTCGGATAAATTGTCATTTTTGAAAATTTGGACACTGGTATCATTTGAATCTTATGAAACAAGTGTTTAGTATGAGCATGGCACCAACTATCTACCATTAATATTAGCTCATACACCTGCTCTAATGATTTTAACCAACGTGAATGCCACAGGCAAATATTCATTTTAACAACACTCGATAGATTTTACTAGGAGCTATCTACTAAAATACCCGGTATCATTCGGTGCCCCATCTATACTACCATTGTCATTCTTAATTCTTCCCCAATGTTTGTAATTGCACACCATACAAAACCACCTTTTATTATGTTCAGGTAATTCTCAGCAGGCTTTAAACATTGACATTATGAAGCTTTGCATCTCACAACGCCATTGTTTAAAACCTAAACGGTTAATCAAAACACATCAGTGCTCATCAAGCAAATGTAAATAAATGTATCATCAACGCATGTAGAATTTATTAAGTTGTGAAAATGTGAAATTGTTCATGGTGCTGTTAAAGCTCAAGTCCCTTTTGAAGTGATGCAAATGCAACAAATACCTCGGTCATACTCGTCTCTTGTACTTCATGACTTACAATACCAAGTCGTCGGGCTAGTTGACCACTATCACCACAAGTTTCCGGCAATTCCAAAACACGGAAAATATGCTCTAGTAACTCTAGTCCTATAATCATCTTCTCCTTGTCAGTCGACGCGGCCAATAGCTGTGTTTGTAAAGCTTCAACGCCAAGCTTTGTCATTTGCAATACAGTCGTTCCACCCACTTGTCGAGCTACTTGCCATGTGCCAGGTTTACCAATATTTTGTAAAAACCAATCATTCACCACATCCACGGATTCACTTGTTCTTATCAAAACCTTGTATCCGCATCCGTAAACAGATTTGAGCCTCTGCAGAGTACCAATACATTGCATACGGCCATTGACAACAATGCCAATACGATCGCCAAGTGCTTTCGCTTCTTTCATGGAATGGGTGGTAAGGATTACAGATGTGTGTTGTTTGAGTCTTGCATGGTATTTAAACAAGATTTTTCCTGGAGAGAATATTGCCACTTCACAACCATGGAGTTTCCCATTTATCTCCAGTTTTTGGTTCTCTACTTATAAAAGTATTCCCTCACTCCAAGTACCCAGACACGCATTACAAGAGGATGGCTTTATTGAAAACTTTAACGAAGATCATATTTCAGATTCCGACCGCAATGTGCTATCCATTAACAATATACTGAAGGAATTTAAAGTCAAAGAAAAACCAAAGGATGCATCTTCTGATTCTAGCAAGGGGATCTTTGGCAGATTTTTTTGTGGTGCAGCAACGGAAACCAAAATTAAGCGTGCTGTGCAAGACTTTAATTTGAATTTACACAGTAGTCAGATTCTTGCACTACTGGGCCACAACGGTGCGGGAAAAACTACATTAATATCCATGATAAGTGGTGTTGTGTTGCCAAAATCAGGCCACATTTACGTCAAATCCAAGTCGGGCGACAAAGTGATGGATATAACGGATCCTTTTGCATTATCAATGTTTAGACAAGAACTTGGTGTATGTCCACAGTTTGATGTAATCTTTGAATCTCTCACTGTTCGTGAGCATTTAGAACTGTATTGTGGTATTAAGGGTGTGACGATTGATGGCCGAGTTGGAGATTTTATATCTAGTGGTCAAAAAGATGCTGCAAATTTAAAAATGCAATATGTCGAGGCCATAGCACGCGATGTTGAACTGTATGCTAAACTAGATGCCTACATCAGTACTCTCTCTGGCGGTATGAGACGCAAGCTAAGTGTAGCTATTGCGCTACTTGGATCTCCTCGTATCGTGTTGTTGGATGAGCCAACTACTGGCATGGATGTTGCTGCTCAACAACGTATCTGGTCCTTGATTCGAAGCTGCAAAAAGAATCGTGTTTTGATTGACTACACATTCTATGGAGGAGGCCGATGTTCTTGGTGACCGTATTGCTATCATGTCGAATGGCCATCTCAAAACACTTGGCGCATTGATTTTTCTTAAATCGCAATTCGGTACGGGATATAGTATTGATTTGTCAAGTCTGACAAAGCTACAATGTCCAATCAACTATCCACTCGGGCAGATTCAACAATTCTCAAAATTGTGCAGCAATTTTTTCCTGCTGCGTAAGTAGTATATATAGGGCACCGAATGATACCAGTTTTTATTCATTCACAAGTCTAAATTTATAGTGACACCACATTGCTTTCCTTCCAGACAAAAAATGTCTGGCCATAATACACCGATTTCAACAGCTCACTCCTTTCTCTCACTGAATACTCCAAGGGTGTCTGTGGAAGCAACAATCAATTCAGACTTACCAGGGCTCAAGACTCTGCTTGTCGAATACTTTTCTGGAGCAAGGTTGTTTGCCAAAATCCAAAGAACAGACACCGGAATCACTCAGGCAATAGTTCAGGGACATCCGAAGCAGTTTCCCTCTTCTCTTGAATACCTCAGAGAACTGCTACAAATCAAATATGATGCTGCTATTGTTTGGGGCGAAGCGAGCGCTGTTTCCAAAGAAAGCCGATACAACTCGATCACTATTGAAGAAGCTTTACCAACTTTGGAAAGGGATCCGTCCTCGGGAGAGTTTCTGGAAAAGGAACTTGACGAAATCTCTTTTGGTGGGTCTGCTGCTACTGAAGCTTTGAAGAAAGTTGTCAAGGAAACATTCGCTAGTATGGCAAATGCAACTACTGGTTTTGGCATTGCAAAAGGATGGATTCCCGCTGTCCCGGAAAAGCACATCACTGTCAAACGTGGAGACGAAGAATACGACTTGGAGGTTTCTACCATTTCTTCTCTCTCCGCATTGATTGAAGCAGTGCAGAAGAAATTCCCATTGGCTCTGAAAGTCAAGAAACTCTACCGCTTGCACGAAGAAACTCCAATCGTTGTGACTGGTGTGAAAGACCTGCGCCAAGGATATTTGTATTATGTCCTGGCAGGTTTCGAAGAGCTTCCCAAGAAGCAGACCACCAAGTTCACAACAATGGAGGAGTTCTTTGACAAGTTGAAGATTCAACAAGAACTGGATGATGATGAAATTCAGCTTATCAAGGACTGTCTTGGAAAACAGAAAGTCAAATTCACCCAATTGATGGCCACTGGCGATCTGGCATTGACTGATGAGAAGCTCAAAGAAATTGGAATCTCTCAATTGGGTTTAAGAACAGCAGTTCTATTAGTTATTAAAGGCAATCGATAAAATCCTTGATGTAAATTGAATTTACTTGATAACATTGCTTAATCGTTTTTATTCATATCCAACCCATCCAATACATAATTCAATTTACTCACCAAATGCCACTCATCTCCCAACTGACTTTGTAAAGTAGTATTGCTTTTCGGTCAATATTCTTATCCGATAATCTATGCAAACAATCGGATATGCTATTTTTCATTGAGATTGACACTGCATATTGTGAATTGATCAAGACCTGGTCGAATGGCAAAAGTCTTGGTCTTATAATGATTGGAAATATTACAATTGTAATTTTGAGGCTCTTACATTATTACAATTGTAATTCCGAGTTTACAATTGTAGTTTCCATTGTTTACTACAAATGTCAGCAGATTACAGCCTGGATCAGAAGAGTTGCTGCTTTTAATGATGCTGATTTGTCAGAAGAGCTCAATTTGATCAACAAGAATTCATTCAATGCATTTGCTAGGGCAATCAGTCGCACACGTCGTCCCGAACTGGACTCTCATATTCACAGAAATGGTGCGTATGAACCACATCCCCACGCAGATACAATCAATTTACTGATTTCTATTGGAGAGTCTACACTGTCTGCGATCAATTCAGAAATACCTGTTAGCCCTGTCCCTTACGCAGTCAGTCCTTATATGTATGTCAATGCCAGAATCAAGATCTTGACCTGACGAATAAACATATACACGTCAGAACTACTAAACAAGAATCGTGTAATGGACCGATGCCGAGATATTTGCAAATCAGACAATTCATTGGCCAAAACCTGCTTGCTCTCAAAGGCTGCTTTCCAAATCAGGAGTTTGTTGATTACACTCGGCAAATGTTCAAATGGAATCACACAATGTGCCATTTGTACATTGCGTATTATCGGTTTCTGATTGACTATCCAGTGTTTGTGTACTCTGGCTTGCCTTGAACTACCATTTGCAATGAATGCATTCGCTGGAGGAGATGACTGGATAGCGAGGAAGCAAATGCTTTACCAATATCCGATTATTCGTCGTCTTCATTCTGGAAGGGAACTTTACCACCTTATCGAGAAAAGGAATATGAACCAAGCGAATCTCCATCCAGCTTTCATTCGTTTGAGGAGGAACCTGTGGGCGAAGGTGTAGCAACTGGAAGCGAAATGGTTATTTCAACAAGTCTCAGCAATCTAAACATTTGAATAAATGAAATACTCAGTTCTTGATAGACTTTTTATACTTTTTCAATCTTTCCCTTTCGGCTTCTGCATTTGAGGCATAGTAGTCTCTGTAACGTTTTTGTTCAACTTCCTTATTATGAGAATAGTATTCACGATACCATTTCCTTAATTGGTCTTGTTCTTGAGATGAATAAGCATCCCAATTCCTGATGTATTGTAAGTAGTCCTTGTAATTTCTAATTGAGCTGATGGGTGTCATTTATTGTTACTCTAGAAAATAAGTTGCTCCAAATGTCTTTGTCTTTCTATTGGTTGGGCCTTGAACTCTTGCCAGTTCTTGTAATTCTCTCTTGTTACGACGCTCCTTGTTTGTCATTGTCGGCTCTCTGTGTCTCGGTTCAATCAAAAAGGTCTCCGTTCCTTCAACTCTCTCGAGTTCATAGTATTTGTAAGACTTTCCAAGAACATTGCCGTTATCATCTGAAATTGAGAAAGAGTATCCGTTCCCACTGACAACCGTATAGATGCCGTTGCTGTACTTTGACACATATCCTTTCCTGAATGTTTGTTTACCTTTGAGTATCCGAACACGATCTCCAACCTTAATTCAATGCTTGGTAATTTTTACTTTCATTGAACCATTTAATGGATTCTTTAGATACATTGATTCAGGAATATCATTTACACCACGGTGATAAGTGTGGTTGTAATTGAATACAATGTCTTCCAAGACATCAATGTATCTATTTGATTTCCTTGATTCTTGATAACGAGCAATGATATTCTCCAATGTTCTGTTGAATCGTTCAATCAATCCTTGTATATTGTGATCACCCACATTCACAGTGATGTGACGAACACCTTTTGCTTGCAGTAAGCTTTGGAAGTTGTTGTTTAAAAACTCTGTGCCATTATCGCTTTGAATAAGAATAGGCTTTTGCACGTCAAGTATCACTCTCATTGCATCTGTAGTATCTGATTTCTTTTCATCGCCACCACAAATGATTTCCTACTAAATACATCTATTGCACACAGGAGATACTTGTATCCGGAATTCCATCTTGAATATTTAGACAAGTCAATCAAATCCACCTGCCATTGGTCATTGACTGAATAAACAGTTATGGGGCTGAATGCTGGCTTTCTTCGTGATTCTTTATGAAGTTGGTGAACTTCTTGCTGGTCAAGAAACTTTATGATTTGCGAGATTGGAAGCTGTTTGTTCAGTTTCAGGTATAATCTCTGCGCTGAAATGAGGCCACTCTTGGGACTGTAATACAATTCGTAAAGCTTATCCATAACCTAAAATAAGAAATCATTTTTTTACAATTCAGCTGAAAGTGTTTCAAAACCGACTCGGAGTCGTTTATCATTAAACAATTTCATTCCGGTCTTTGTTAGAGAATACGTATTCATCTGGTTGTAGTCCATGATTTTTTACATCAAAAATATGAATCTTGCAAAATCGATATGAATTGTTGCTATTAAAACCATTTACTACGCTACCACTGTTATTTCCAAAGCTGTTGAGTTGATTGAAATCGTAACTAACCAAATCTACTGAAATATGTCCAACAAAACAATCATGTCAATCATGTCGAATGTGATTTATTGATCAGCTATCCATGAGCCATGAACAATGAACGATGATAAATAGAATGAAACTTTGCGGCTTTGATTTGAACATTGGCAACTATGCAAGTTGGTTTCAAGTTTACTGTGTGCATTGACACATGGTCACACATTGACAGATCAACAGATTACAGCTAGCGACAATCTGAATCAACTTTGGATGATATATATTTATATTTCAACAACCATTTCAACATGGTTTGAATTGCTCGGACAAATCAAATACATGACCAATTGAACAATCAGTCAAATATTTGGTATACAATGACAGTATATGCTGTAGTGATGGATTGTATATGTGATGACAACTATCCATGATCAGGGTGACAATCTGACACTACCTGATTACTGAATACATCACCGCAATTGGAAATATCAACGCAGCATAATACCGAGGTTGATTATACACCAACAGCGATGCTTGTATATTGATCTACCCTACGGTGTGTTTTTGGCTTTGCCCACCCTACACGGTGCATTTGTGTTTTATAAATATCCATTTGAAAAGTGCTGATTGTCACCCTTGAAACTGCCGTTGTTATAAAACAGCAGTCATGTACCGGATTCAACCCATTTTCATTATAATACTCGATACAATGCTGATTACTCTAGAATGCATTCTACTTGCGCTACAGACGGTTTCTGCAGTTCGACTTGCATTAGAATCACCAATTGGAACTACCAGTCAATCAAACAATAGACTGTCAAAGCGATCACCCGTTGTGTTGGATGGTGATATCACAAAATGCTACACAATTAAAGTCAATGTTGATGGAGTCAATGTATGTATCATGTCATGCCATTTATTGTAGTTTGATATCAACTTGCACCACGTTGAATCAATCTCACTTGTTTAAAATAGTTGGGTTTGCAAGTCGATTCATCAATGGCTGATATAGTCGTACCACTTCCTAGTTCAAGCAACGATGTAGGTTTGACTCCGCAACACACTCCAAGTGGGGAACCCGTTACTATAGATTACAAAGGCGAAGAGTATAATGGAGTTACATCCACAGCCGATGTGACGATTCCGGGTACTAGGATAACTGACATTGATTTACCAGTAATAGCAGTTGGTATCGATTCAATGCTCAATGGAGTATTTGGGTTCGGCAATTCCTTGTTGTCAAATCATCATCCACAAACCACTGCAATGGATGCTTTGTACAATGGTGGTATTATTCCCAATAACGAGGTTAGTCTTCAACTATGTCCGTATGAAATGACTTCAAATAGCTTCATCAATATAGGAAACACGGACGTAACTGCAAAATGCGGAACGGATGGAACAAGTGTTGCATGGGTAAAGTCACCATCAGACGATCAATTTACTGTCAACATCAAAAGTATACTAGTCAATGACGAACCAGTGGAGCTGCCCGAGGAATTCCAAAAAACAATAATGGAAAATGGACGTACTTTGTACTCGAGTGTGGAAACATGCTTTTTATATATGCGTTTTCCTGAAGTAGTCGTGGCAGCGTTGGTTGACGCTATTCTTGATAGTGGTGCGATCACTGTCAACATTAATATATTTAGTGACAAACTCGGAAAAGTAATGGTTAAAAAAATATTTTCGCAATGCTTGAATCCGGTTTTGATATCGATTGGGACAAGCTGCCAACACTTTCAATTACAATGTTTGTTCAAACCCCCGTAACTGATTCCAATCGCAATTCTGTTGTAACAATCAAATTGGGTCCTCGAGACTATATACAGAGAGTTGATTCTAAACATGGTAAATATTTGACAATTGTATGTAATGTGTTGTTGGATTAACCTGACTAATGTACATGTTGGATTATAGTTAGATTTGATATAGAAGTTGGTCCAAATGACAATGCAATTCTTGGTATTCCATTTATGGCCCAACTTGGATTGACATTTGATCGAGCACATAAACGCATTGGGTTTGGTCCTGGATGTGGATGCGAAGTCGCGACTAGCAAATATCCTACTATTTCGAATGGTTATCGAGTGCTCTGGCCATCATCACAGTAAGTTGTTTGATATTGATGTGTGGATTGATATTGATGATGAATTTGGTGCATAGTGTTAGATTGCCTGAACAACCAAGTACTTCAGGTTCAGATGGTACATCTACTCTTAGGAGATCATTGTCGCAACTTGGTAGTGCTCTCTGTGGTAGTAGACGACCAAAGTTTAATTACAAGAAATTTGAGGACTAACAGATATATCAATAAAACTGGTTATATGTTGCATGGATGGTGATCCTGATTATTTATAGTTGGTATGATGTACGTTAGGACTCTTGGTGTTAGCAATCATCAACTACAACTGATCAAGTAGTTGTGCCTGAAAACACTCACCACACTGTCAAGAGTCACAAACAGACTCACAATAAACTCGACTGAATACAATTCATTAGTGACAAAGTGATATTATATGTATTTTTAATGTGGTGTGTCCATGTTTGATTGTGTGATATGTTCAAGCCGTGCATGTATTGGATCAGTCCAGTGTGTATCGTAGTTGTTTAATACACGATGATCACGCATACTATTGTATTGGTAATACATGGTATTGATTGAATACACATCATGATCGCACAGCTCGATCACGATCCAATTGACACAAACAGTCGAGTCGTGTAGTTTGGGTTCAGCTTGACACATTTGTATTGTCAATCGGACAAAACATCAAAAGTGAATCAAGATCAACTGAAACAACCAACAGACTGGATCTAGTATGTGTAGTCACACTGGGTTGCATATACTGATCACAGTAAACAACTCGAGTGTCATTTTACTGATTGTGGTTATGGGAACATGCCAGTGTTTGATACATGCAGCGTTACAATGATGGGTCAGCAACAATGTGATGGAACTAGATGAGTAATACCAAAACCATGTCAAGAATATGTGATATAACAACAACTTGCAGCCATATTGATGTAAATGGACCACTAAATAACAGTGTTGACATGCAAACAACAGTTGTATTACTGACATGTGTCATGATTGTTGTTGAACTAGATTGCGATCGTATCCGTGATTCAAAATACAACAAATGTGTACAGAGTTGTATTGACAACATTGACAGTCAAACACAATACATGAATGTGGGTTCAAACTTGGTGATCGTACAATGTATGATTACTAAAAGTGCACAAAGTGTAGATTCAACACTACAGTCTGATTGTGTGTCATATGATGGTTGTTGTATACCAAACACACAATACAGTCAATGTGTAGTAACCATTGTATGTTGCAATGCATAACACAGTCACTGCACGATGAATACTGTTGTAAAACAAAGCGTTTGCGGCCACACAACACTCATGAAGGGTGTGCTTTTCAATATACCTGATCAAAGGGTCGTAAAGGCATAATTTAATCGGCATGATCATCAAATTGATCAATATAATATTATGATTAGGGAGCAGCATACTATGGTTTGATATTGGCCCACTACAAGCAATCAAATAACCCTGTGTCGTTGGTTAACCTAAAAGGGTTGGTTTGCTATACAAAACATACAAATACAACCGAGTATGTTCAGTTTTATAATCAACACCAGTCTCGACACTCTACTTTTGTATTAATTGTTTAAACACACTGACCAATCTGATGAAATTGGTTGATATTTTATTCGTACTGACTGCAGCAGCAACCACTAATGCAATACTAATCCCGACTAATAACAATGGTTCACCCAAAGCATCAGTCACTTCGAGTCAAGCGTCTGGCCCAACCAATGAGCCTAATCCAGGCACTTCAGATGAATATCAGCAAGACATAATTGATGCAACTAATTTAAGCATTTTCGACGAAGACTGGAAATACCTATTTGATTTGATTGATCCAAACACTTCCAATGAAGACTGGCAAAATACGGTGAATCAACCCAGTTCAAGCACTTTCAGTCAAGTATCTGGTACAGCTGATGAACACGGTTCAAGTATTTCCAAACAAGACCAACAACAATCGATGGATCAACCCAGTCCGAGCACTCCCAAACGAAGTCGAAAACGGCCGATTGATGAACCCGGTTCAAACATTTCCAAGCAAGACCAACAACAATCGATGAATCAACCCGGTCCGAGTGCTTCAAAACAAAGTCGGAAACAATCAACTGATGAACCCGGTCTCGTATTTCCCGACAAATACTGGCAACGCCTAATAGATGAAGTCAATTCAGACACTTTTGAAGACTGGCAAGAATTGTTTGATATAGCTGGTTTAAATACTCCCAGTCAAGTTTCTGACCCAATTGATCAAGTCGGTCCAAACACATCCGACCAAGACCAACAACAACCAGCTGATCAACCCAGTTCAGGTATTCCCAACCAAACCCAGCAACACCTAATGGATGCAACTGGCCCAAGTACTTCCAGTCAAGACCAACAACAACCAATGGGCGAAAGCGAGTCTGCCAATACTGTTTCAAATCAAATAGCTGGATTATGCGAAAAATATCAAAGTACCTTTAATCGTATAAAGCAAAAGCTTGTAGAGTCTAAAGAAATACGAGAGAAAAAACTCAAAGAATATTGTGATTATAAAGCCATTGGATTCGAACAATGGTCAGCGCTAGAAAGAGGAGAAGATATATCTGGATCAAGGTACAGTCCAGACACTGAAAAGAAATTGAAAAAAGAGTATGCAATGACAGGCAAAAAGGTGTGGGAGTTAAGGTATCAATTGAAAAGGTTTATGAAAAGGCATGGTTTGAAATTCGAAGAACTGGGTTTGGATTTGGATTGATGATGTGTCGATGAATTTGATTTTGAATAAATTTAAACTTTCTGATGTGTTGGTATTTGTCGAGTATTGTGAATGGGTCAACAATCATATCATTGATTGTGTATACTGTGTTGGGTATTACATCGACAGTTATTGGGTTGTTGATTGATACATTGACATGGTTTGTTCCATATACATCAATGACCTGATAACAACCAGTGTTGATTGTACATGTAACTATCAGTCAGACTTGCAATCACTTGTCAGTTGTGTGGTTGCATGATATCACCAACTGACCATGTCGTGCATTGTACAACAAACGTATCAATACACTTGTTCAAAGTCTGTCACAAGCAAAATGTGTTTGCCATGTCACTGTCAATGTTGGAAATCACAACAGACAATGTTTGATTGAAGGATTTAACACGTCATTACAAAACATCATTGCATTTTATCAATAATATACTAAAACTAACCAATACGTTAATGTCTTGCAATATATTGTGTTTGACTACAATCACATCCATCATTGTGCAGTTGGTGATATTGCTGAATCAAGATATGAAAGTGATCCATCAAGTGGTTCAATTAAAACAAACACTGCAAACCATTCAATCAATGTTGGGAATTGTGTTGGAATACTGAATGGACAAACCTTTGAGTAAAATACAAGTCAATATACAGTAATGCTGTGTATACTATGTATACTGTGGTCAGTGGAAATGATTACTCGTATCCAATTTCAGATGATGATCAAATAATTCAGACTTGCAAGTATTATGAATTTGAACACATCCAAATTGCTGAAACGTTTGTTACTGAATCTAGAAACCCAGATCCAACAATGTCAAATAAGCAGCGTCAAAACAGAAATCAATTGGATGCATTATCAGCAATTAGTGAACCTGAAAACAACAAAACATACGACATACGACATATGATAGGACATTTCAAACAACTTGTTTTCTAGAGCAACTATAAATGCCATTCATTGACTCGATCAAAAACTACAACAATTACTTGCAATGTATCAAAATTTGGCATCCAAATTTGACATCCATATCCAGTTCAACAACAGAAAGCGTCAAACAAGTGGTATCATGATTACTATTCACAACAACAAGCAAATTGGACAACAGCGCTGTTGCAACTATTATGCTTCAAACTCGGAATCAGAAACGGTGCAACTGAAAAAAAGTACACAAAGTCGACGAGTATAGTTTATTGAATCATTCAACACCAATATCGTGTACTTGAAAATCAATGACATCAATTCCACCATCTACCAGAAACATGTTTGTTGCGGTGTGTTATTTGATGTGAATTTTGCACCAGTATGTTCATGTCTGATACAATTCATGGCTGTTATTGGACTTTGTACGACTGAACCATTGTTCAAATGTGATGATGTTTATGCCACTGTTGTAAATCGAATGGGTGCATATTGAAATACACGATATTGTTGTAATAGATTGTAGTATGTCTTGTATGCAAAATACGACAATCTCTCGAGTTTGAATTCATTGTAAATATACACCAGAAATTCATCAAACTGAACCTTTTAGTATTTTTGCTTGCTTGAAATAGCTCCAGCAAACAAACAAGCGTTTATGCAATGCACATTGTGTATGCTACACCAACAACATCATTGATGGTCAATACACACAAGTATTGTTGATGTACACTTTGAGTTCCAAGACTGTATTTTTTGTAGTGGGAAAGTCGTTGGAAAGCTGCACATTGAATTGCACTGTTTTGAGTTCCACTTTAAACATCTGTTCAGCAATCAGTCCATACTTTTGACAAGCTCATGTATGAATGATGGTTTATCAGTGTTTTTATCAAGACACGGTAAATTGGTTCATGATCAATGATTTGAGTTGATTTCAATGTTACTGCATTCATGACATTGAGTGCATCTGAAACAGCAACATCATCACTTGATTCGAGTTTCAAACGATAATTAATGACTGTGTTGGTCAAACTGCAGATTCACTGCTATTGGATTCAGACTCTGTAGCAAGACTTTCTGTGTGATGAAACAGCATCTGAAACTGCACCAATCGTTTGATTTCCAATAATATGAGCATCGTCCATAATAATATCATCAGCGGTTTGTGGTTCAGCATTTACCATTATACGAATCCAGTGAATATGTTGATTGTAGGTTTGTAAACAGAGGCTACAAGCCAGCAGTGACATCGTTTGCAGACTTTTGACTTTGAAAGCATTCATAATTTCTGATGTGTTACTATCATACAGCAAGGCACATTGCAGTTGCTCACTTTGTCGACTTTTATTGGCAACCTATTATGTATCAGCCACAAATCTGATATTGCAGACTTGTAGATGCTTAAAAATGGGGTTTTCAAATTGACTTTTGAATTTGAGGATCGTGAACATATGATGGCATATTGATGGTTGTCATTATTGTCAAGTGTGTTGCAGTTGATTGAAGATGTGATGGAATGAATCAATATTCGATTGTGTTGTTTATTAACAAGAAAGTGAGTGTGTTTATAAAATAGGAGACAAGAAAGTCATGTGAATTCCAGTTCAAACGTCATTGTTGTTGGTTTTTGATTGTTAAACTATTCAGAAATGTCTCACATTCACACACTACTAATGTCTCACACAGTGCAAGTCAACACTCTCACACTAGTAATGTCTCACATTAATGAGACATTAATTCTGGTGTAAATTTGACTAATTTCCAAATATTTAAATCGTGTGAATTGTCTTGAAATATCCCAAAATTTTGTTATTTTGACTCGATTAAAAAGTCGATTTTTGTTTTACAATTTGACAAATAAATTGCTTTTTTACTCTTTTTCTTTTCATAAAATGCCAAAACGATTCCTCAATGTTGAATATGACACTATTTCTACTGAAATCGATGTGACTGACTTTGAAGACCTGAGTGACGTTCAGGATGCTATCAAGTCTGAGTATGGTCCTGCTATGGCTGACATTGATGCTCCTCAACTGCAACTCTACACCAACAGTAACAAAGACCAACTAATCAACACCTGGGCTTTACTCGACTCTCTTCCTCAATAATACTTTACTCAAGATGGTTCTTGTGTTGTTATTGGTTGTTTACATCTACCTTCAAGACAGCCTACTCAAACTTACCTAGATCCAACATCTGCTGCAGCCTCAACCGCACTACTGGATTTTTGGACTGCTTTCACAAACTACCCTAACCCTCTTGAAGGAAACACTGTTGTCCAACTTCCAGCAGACGTATTCATCCTTGGAACATATTCAATCGGATCATCCATTTACATCCGTCCTTGTTATCCTAAACTTCTTGAAAAATCACCATCTATTGTGCAATCTGCTGGTATATGTCGTTTGATCATCCTTGGAAATCCTGGAATTGGCAAGACATATTTTGGTTACTTTTTGCTGTTGCATCTTGCTCGCTCTGGTGCTACAGTCGTGTATGAGAGTGGAGTTGATCAAAAAAGATATCTGCTTACTCCCAATGGTGTATTCGAAGGAGGAAAGCATGCTTTTTGGAAAATCTTGGATTCCTCGTCAACATTCTACATTGTTGATGGCTCGGCACCTGTTGATGTTGATGCCAAGACCATTCTTGTTACTTTACCTCGTCGGGAAATTTGGCATCGGTTTTCCAAGGGATCCTGCGACATTCGGTATATGCCAGTGTGGTCAAAAGAAGAATTGCATTCTTGTCGCTCAATGCTGTTTCCTACAGTCCCAAAAGAATTGGTTGAAAGTCTGTATTTGAAGTGGGGAGGAATTGCTCGTTATGTTCTTAAATATGCATTGGTAAAAGAACAACAGGATTTTCTCGACAAAGCTTTAAATATTTCCAATATCGATTCAGTTGTCAAGTCTTTTGGTAAATATGGTGAACACCTAGACGCTTCAAGTTGTTTGATTCATATATCAGTCAAGGATGGCTTCCACAGTGGTCCTTATCAGTTTGCTTCTGACTATGTGGTTGATGAAATTTACAACCGTGTCTATGCCAGAGACCGAGATCATCTTATCAGATTCGTTTCTGTTGCTCGAGAAATTGGTGAAACTGGTCAACTTAATAGGGCATTATTTGAAAAGCACGCTCATACAGTCATCGCTAAAGGTGGTTCATTCAAGATTCGTGATTTACGTACCAAGCTGGAGTCTACACTTCAACTGCCAATGGATCTTAATACTTTGTTATTCTCCAACAATTCTCAAATTCAAGACGCAACGAATTGCTATTTCCGTCCCATTAGCAATACTTTTGAATCTGTTGATTCGTTCATCAAGCCAAATCTACTTTTCCAAATGACCGGTGCCAAAGATCATCCTTGCAAACAGACTGGGCTTTGTGATGTTTTGGAAATACTTGGTAATCCGTCAAAACCAGAACTGTATTGTGTTGTACCTCCTGATCGTTTTGCCTGTTTTACACGCCAAAGCTACCACGGAACAGATGGTCAAGTGTTGTCACAAAACGATACTATTGCGAGTGTTAAGAAGTTGACTCGATTTGTTTTGACGTTTGAACCATCTCATCAATAAGGTATGTAGACTAGAATTAATGATTTTTATTGGCCGCATAACGCTAATCCTAACTCTGTTTCTCGACCTCGTTCTACACAACACACGGCGTTTGATTTCTTAAAGGTGAATAATATCGTATGGGTTCCATTGGACAACAAACCTCACTTTGTGGAAATGACCACTTTCATTGTCAGGAACTTCCCAGTCGTGTAATTTAATAGCTTTGGTTTTGAAACCTATAGTTTCTTGTAAATAATTGCATATCCCAAGACTGTTTTTCACCATACAGTTTTGAAACTAATATTTTGATTCAAGAACAAACTGCGTTTTCCTTTTTCTTTTTCTTTTGCAAATAAAAGTTGTTTTGTTGCTTACAATTTTGGACAATCAATTGACTGCCAAACTGTACAACAGTTTTGCTGACATTGGATTTGTCCAGTCGATAGTCTCGGGTTTCAAACTTGAATCAAACACTCAACTGACAAAACACTGCAGGGATT